TCTCTTAGTCTTTATGGCTCGTAGTGAGTCCCCAGACGATCGCAGGAGAAGGCGCTCTAGCAGAGACGACCGCGAGAGGACTCTCGCTCTGATCGCCGAGGTAAGGGAGCCAAAATTCGCTTTATTCTCACAGCAGTTTTAGGCGAAGACTCGTCGCCCAGGAAACACCGTGACCGCTCCGAAGACAGGACTCGTAGAGAGAGGCGTCGTAGTCGATCGGCTAGTCGCGATCGACGCCATTCCAGCCGTCGTCGTGATGAACCTCAACGCCATCGAAATGACAGGGAGATCAGTCCTAGGGAAGAACGGAGCGGAGAGCATAAATCAGAACGGAAGAGGGTAGAAGTAGAGGACAAGGTCCCCGAAGAAAACCGAGAACGAGATCGGCATCGCGACAGCAGGGAAGACTTTGATCGTCGCAGAGATGAGAAAAGGTAGTCGTATAAGGATGGTTTTTCTGTTACCATCGTTGCTCGCTGGACCTTCAGGGAGAGTCCAAGGCAGCCGCCTCCTCCTCCTCCTCCTCCACTGGAGCGTCGAGGACCCTTCACTCCGTTTGGCAAGGGCAGCGGCAAGGGATCCTGGGGAAAGGGCAGGTCGGAACTGCTGGTCAACTTTATGAAATTTGGTGGAATGGGAGCCTGACTGCGCCTGGGCTCAGTGCAATAGATCTGAAAATTCCGCAGTGATAGGTACGGTGACGGTCCATTCGGTAAAGGTAAAGGAAAGGGGTTCAGCGGTAAAGGCTGGTCTAGCGGGTCGCGAGGATTTGTTTGGAAGCATGACAAATTCGAGGAGGAAATCAAAGCAGAGGAGCAGATCCAGGAAGAAGAAGAAGAGAAAGAGTCTGAAAAGAAAGAGGTGCTGAGGCGCGAGGGAAGCATCGCACTGGCATATTCCTTGGGGCCCTGTTGCGAGGTCCAGTGTAGTGGCTCTCCCGGAAATTCTAAGCATGCGTTGAATATGGCGTTCACGTTGGACACAACGTACAGTGTGGGAAAATATGCACATGGTCAACTACATGTGTTGGTGATGAGATGAAAATTGTGGGGAAATTTTTGCACGTGCATATTGGTTTTCTTACACTTCTTTTTGAGTCCGTGTAGAGATCATCAAAATATAGCGAGGAAAATCCTGAGCTCAGCGGAGGAAAGTGAGCACATACTCCAACACTGATTGACTCTTTTCACCCCAGACTCCACAGGAAAACTCGCCTGCCTCCACAGCCCGTAGTAAGCCGATCAAATTTGATCTTTACGCTGAAAAACTGGACGATAATGTGGTCCAGGCAGTGCTGGACAACGTCAGGGAGAGAATTGATAAGTATTGCCGAATCTGCTGTTATCTCGTTCGAGTGCTCCAAACAGACGTCGTGATGCAATGAAGCAGAAGAGGGAGGAGCGCGAGGCTGAGATTCAGAAAATGATCGCTGCGGGCGAGGATCCTTTCGCGAAGAGGCCCCGTGAGGGTTATAAGGGAGCTGGTATGTGTGTCAAGGCGTACGGTATTTCATCAGTATCGAAGTATTCACAGCGCGCGCTGATTTTTCTGTCCGTTTTGCACAATATTTCTCGTGATCGCGTTATATGTTGACCATTTATTGTCCTTTTATCGGATATCGCTACGGTGGTCGTGCTTGAAGGGGAGTACTGTACCGGTGAGACTCCTCCCCTGAGTTCACAGCTGTAGCATGTTCGCGCCAAATTGACGAGTCGCTGTCTTTAGGGGAAAGGTCCACAGGCTGGTCACGAGATCAGTCCGGTCGGTGGGTTCGCAGGGACCCCGCTCAGGCGGGGGATGACGTCATAGAGCGGCCGAGCGGTGCGTGCTTTACTTTATGTTACCTCTCGCCGATTCGACGTTGGTCTGATAGGTCGAAGAATTACTCAAGACGGAATGCGACCATCAAATCGTGGAGAACTTGAGAGAGGAGTGGTTGATGGAAATGCGAGAGATGATGAAATTCAGCGTACGAATGTCAGCGCTAAATGCCGTGTAGTAGAGAAAAGTCTTCAGGAAAGTCGCTGCCAGCTCGACGGGAGTTCGAGAGGGACGAAGCCGAGGGAGGAAATCGGCGCAAAGAACCGGAGTCCGTCCGCAGACAAGAATCAATGAGTCCAAAGAGAAACAGAGAAGGTGACCTCCAGGTCTCGGCTCGACACGGGGGAGTGCCACAATGCACCCTCAGATGCTCGTCGGGGCTCTAGGGAGGAGGAGAAGGAGGAGCGCGAAAATAGGAGGGAGAGAGAAAGTTCAGGGCTGAGGCATCAGCATAGAGGCCTGAAGATGGAGCAACAGCAGGGGCACGGCAGTAGCTCCCCTAGCGCACGCCCTAGACAGCGCGATCGTTCCAGATCTAGGAGTCATAGGAGAGATAGAGGTAGGGGTTGGGGGACGGTCCTTTGGGTGAACGAGTACGGGAAGATAGACACATTTCTCTGGGAGCGGTCATGGTCCCCTCTCATTGTGAAATAATGCATTATTCGTGTTGCGACATTACTGTGCAATGTTGCCCGACGAATAGTGTCTCAGAAATTACGTATATTGTATAGTTAACACTGCGCGTATTCGGTCGTCGACATTTGGTGGCGGCTCTCTCGTATGCTGTTGCAATGAACTGCTTCCTAGTTGGACCGCTTGAATGCTCTCCCACCTGGCGTTCTTGACAGTCTCTGCTGGTTGTGAATACGGCCCACCGCTCTGCTACTCCTTGTTAGATCGCAGACAATCACCTCCCACTACGAGCAGACGAGATCACAGGTCCCGCAGCGGTGACCGTAGACAGAGTGACAGACGAAGGAGGAGTTCCAGCAGGAATTCGGTCCGTCATGCTGATCAACGCATGAGCTCGTGGTTATCGCCGAGGCTCAGGTACATCGAAGTTCAACTCGCCGCTGAGGCTAGCTGCGTCCTGAAGGACCATATCCGCGTATTTTCTTAGAGTTGACGGGTCTTGCGTTCGAGCAGTTGTTCTATGCGCACATCGAGGATGTGGGTTTTTCGGCAGAACTGTTTTGCTCTATTGTGTTTCCGACCAGCTGCTCCTGCTGCTGCTCTTTGTCTGCTTCAATCGAAAATTGATATGAACGATTAGCACGATGGTTCTTCAACTTCGCGCAACTATAGTGTCAGCAGACAGTGTCACACCAACCTTTGGGAGACAATACACGATGTGAGGGACGCGTGGTATTCCCCAATGCGCTCAATTATTCATCTCGGGCGCGTATATTCTCAGTCTTGATCAGGTACACGGTGAAGCTGCATATTTTTGGTGGTCGATCCGGTGCTGGTGACACATGGACGGTGTATCGTCGCTATAGCGCTTTCAACGAGACCGATCATAAACTCTACAGGTCCCACACTAGTGCACTGGCGGTTCCTCGTTCGTGCTCATCCTTGTGCCGGTTTCCCGACTTTTTGCAAGTCGATTCCTCGGGCCGCAGCCCCTTGACCATGGTGTTTGTGATTTCGCTCTACCCATCTCACGGAGCTGCCATCTGCGTCCCTTGTTGAACTCTTGTTGCGGAATTTTCTGGTTTCAACTTATGCGAGTTTGGAATTCTCAGATTACTCGTCTCGGCCTCAGAGGCCGTACGGGATGCGGTGCATCTACCAGAACTACCACCGAAGACCTTGCTCGGTGAGTGGCCGATCTCAGCGGTTCTGTTGTAGTCTCGTCCAGTTCCTCGCCTCGACGCTGAGTTCGTCGCCAAGCGCCGGGAGGGCCTTCAGATCTACTTGGACAGCCTCTTGCCCTCTCTGGTGGCCATGACGCCTAGCATGCAGAATGTGGTGAGACTCTAAACAATCAGCTGCCCCCAAGAGTTCCATCATGACAGGTGTGTGAATTTCTGGAAGTGCCCATCACTGCTCGCCCGGGCCTTTGCAATCCCTCTGTTCCGATGTCAGGGCGGGTTCCACCCAGCGAAGTGAGTGGTAGGAGACATGTGTCTGCTATGTGTCGCTTCCGGACGGCCGTTTTTCTTAGCTCAATCGTTCACGGAGCAGTTGCATGGTCCTTACAGCATCGACAACTCTTTGCAGCCGATCAGTTCGCTACCCGCATCTTCCGGCACTCGCAGCGAAAGCCGAATCAAGATGACGCCTGACGAAACAGCAAGGGCCAAGTTGGAAGCCTTCGTGGGGAAGGTACGTACTACCGTCTGAGCGTGCTTTCCCGTGCACACGCGTGCAACTTGTATCAGCTAGCGCAAGTTCCCGAGCTAGATGAGACGGCAGATGAAACAAGTTCTCTCGGGGATGGCGTCGACGACGATTCCGTTGGCAATGATAAAGTAGATATCAAGCGGAAATTGTGCTCCATATTTGCGATTGTTGTTCATGACAAGGTACAGGCCATTCGAGATTTCGAATGTTGGTTCATGCAAAACAAACCTCAATTTCGAGAGCTCTCCATTCAGCTCCTCTTCGTGGGGTACGACCCTACTGGTCGGTCATATGTCTACAACGAGAATCCTCACCCACGCATCGGTGACAGCGAGCGCCCCGTTGGTCTCCTGCCAGAAGTGATCCGGAACAGTTGAGCATGGTCGAGCTGGAACTTGCACATTTTCAGATTGGGAATTTTTCGGAGGATCCTCCGGTGTCCGCATGCGCCGCCCTCGGGTTTCTGCGGAAACTGCTATCGTTCGAGTACAACGCTGACGCCGGTATATACACCCACGTGTTCAAAGCCTCCCCACTGTTCATCATTCAAGGCATGCATCTGGACAAGCATATTCGCTTGAACAGAGGTGGCTACATTGCCATCGTCAAATTTGATTCGCAGTTCCATTTAGGTCAGTCTAGTCGTTTGGATGCGTTTCAAATCACGAGGACGATCAGTCCTTCCAGAGACCCACTGCTCGATATCTTCAATGGCGACGAATGGGCGGTCTCGGAGTATGTATGAAGCCGTTGGTTTCATATGTATTCGGTTTCGACTAGGTATTCGACATGGCTCAAAATTCTCGGCGGTGGACCGGCTATCTCTGGGATGATCGGAGGCCCGCCTGGCGTGTTAGTGAGCACAAGGTGACTTCCCGAGCAGTTCAAAGATATACTCGCAGGTTCAGCGACGGACTCATGCACCGAGGATTATGAAATCTTCCGTCCATGGTAAGAGACCAGCAGCGAGTCTTCCGGCCAGATCCATCACGGCTCGCTTCAGGACGTCAGAACTCGCTGGGCGGTCGGCAAAGCATTCGACGAGGGACACAAGTTGGCGGTGAACTCGCTGATACCAGCCGCGCTAGCTGTACTTCTCTCAGCTTAGGCCCGAGTAGAGGCGGCTTGGACGTCCGCAAGATTGCACAGGACGCTCTTCTCAAGGTCTCGACTTGCGTATCGACGATTACTTACGATGATGATATAGACGATGACCAGAGGAATGGCAGTGCTGATGGTGGGTGCACTGTTAGGAGCCCTGCGGCGTTACTCAACACCAAGATAGGCTCCGTAAACTACTACGACTCTTCGACGCTTCCCCCTACCACCGAGAGCGACAACGACTCGGATTCAAGTTTTGATCAGCATCGCTGGCAACGAGTTACGCCGCCAGCGGAATTCGGTGGTACGCTCAGACAACCTTGCAATGTAGGACTCTACCTCAGGATGATGCCATCCAGGATTATTCGCAGGTTCGCGTCGACTACCACAGATTGGCTACTACCCCTCCTGAGCATATGGCTAGGGCCAGGTTGCTTCATTTGCCGTTCCATCCAGAGTAACCCTCGTACTCGCGATGCTTGCCGCTACTCACCTGATATCAGATATGTCGGCGCCCTCATGTACGACCACAAGGCCTTCATTGAGAACGTACTCGAACTTGACACAGAGGGGACGACGCCCAAACTGGTAGGCGGCATACAGGGCGACTCGGATAGCTCTAGAAGTGACTTCAAGGTTCGGGAGAAGCTCCTGGAGTTCTCTTACACTCACTACAATCCTCTCCTGCACAACGTCATGCTCTTGTCGCTACCATCGAGACGGCATGGTAGGCACATTCAGGGCTAGTGTGGGTCATCCGTGACTTAGTCGTTTTAGATATGTTGCCAGGCGAATCGGCAGCAAGTCCCCGGAGTATGACCATGGCTGCTTCCGTAGGGTCGCCAGCGGCAGGGTCTGGACGAGGCAACTCAGTGCAAGAAGGAACAGGTCACACTCAATTTCATCATAGATTAGTATCATTTACCTATCCAGGGACATGCCTTTTGACCGATCTCTTGGATGTCGTGCTCAACGCGCCTAACTGCGCACCTGGTTTTGTGAAGATGCAACTCTTGCGGGCTTTTAAGAAGCTGCCGGCTGAGGATGGTGGCGGCTACCAAATAGCGTACACTAGTGTCGACCTCGGTGACGAACTGGTCAGTCGAGGACCAGGAGTGCCGACTGGGGTGTGGCGTGGTCATGGTAAGCCAGTTGCGTCAGCCGTTCCATATCTACTTCGTGCTCGGCGCAGACAGAATGGGCCTCGACCTCTCTGAATTCCGAGTCCGAGTTGCAAATTCCGAGTTCCGAGTCTCACTGAGCAATGAAATTCTCACTCGAACAGAATTTTTTTCTCTGAGCTCGGAATGTTATCGCTTCCGAGTTCTCGAACTCGGAAAAATGCGCACTTGAACGCTCATCGATCTGTTGCGGTCTCAGTGCCATTGTCTACCGGCCCTACCCCTTCTGTCACACTGCCAGTAACCCCGATTTCACCTGGTATGGACCGAACTGGCGCAGGAGGGCAGACTTATTTGTTCTCCAGCACACTGGACTGTCGTAGTGCAAATCTGAATCCATGTGGCATGGTCATCCAACCATGTGGTGAGGATGGAAGTAAGAGCAATGAAGGCCGTAACTCCCCGAGATTCGCTGTCTTTAGATTGCTGCGAAGTGTCTGCGGCCGCGATTTTCGGGATGGACAGTATCAACCTCGTCAGCGGAGATCTCTTGGGGGAGTACATTTTTTTCTGGCCAACACTCGAGGTGTGCCGATTCTGATCTCCTCTGTGTCCAGTTTTCTCTCAGAATTTCATCTACATCCTCCAGCACGTCGCGCCATTGCTACCAGCTTACCCTTATGAATTTCACCATCCTTTCATCGAATGGATGTAGGCGGGGTGCATGCAGCAACGCTGTTTCGTTCATTTTGCTTATTCCAGCTATTCCGGGGTCGCACCTGACAGCATGTGTCTTGGAGAGGCAGCTTCGCCGAGGATGCCAAGGGGACGCTCAGGATCCGCTGATAGCTCGTCCGGCCTCGGGCGGTTCGGCGGGGCGGGTCTGGACCATCCTGTCGAGCTTTCGGTGGAGTCCTGATGTGTGTTGATACCTTATGAGAACTGTTACTCTGCATATACTTGTTTCACTCGGCCTTAGTATTGTGTTCCCGTCGTTTGCATCTGTCTTCGCATCCATCACTGCGGCTTTTCCAATGTATGTCTATGGCCGTTCCGGTTTTGCATGACCCAACGGCAACGTCATTTGTGGTCCCCTCGGTCCCTCAGCTCTACTCCTATCATATCGGTACATGGTCAGCTCTGGTGGGATCGATTGCTCCGTCTGTTAGGTCATGGCTTGGCAGCCACCGATGTTGACACTGGGTCGTATGCGCACCGACTAACTTGCGGTCCAGAGCTACAGCGTGATCTATATCGATACACTCACCCAGGCCTCCTCTTCAAGCACCCCATGAAAGATGTCCACCTCGTTCTTAAAGGGATTCAAGGAGAATGCGATGGCAAGGTCTACCTTGATGCCAAGTACACCCTCAATGGCAGCAGAGTCCTGGCTGGGAACAAGCGGCCCAGTGGTGGTAGACGCCCCCTCATGCGGTCGATCTGCACCAAGCCAGGATGGGAGGAGGAGTAGGCCCGTTTGCCGGGAGTCTCTATGAACCGTCGATGTTGACGCTCTGCCCGCAGTTATAAACTGTTCGTAAGTGGTCATTATATGGATGGTCGGGCTCTAAGCACGAGCCTCAGCATTCATTCGGACCATCTCCACGTACCACAAGTGCCCCCAAGGCAAATGTAAGAAGACATAGTCAGTGTCGGGACTGCATCCATGTCCTTTAGGCGGCCTCTCATTCCGAAGCACCTGCCGCCTCAATGGCGTGTTCCCTTCAGTTTCGAAGACTACAATTTGTACAAATGGCTGTGACATGGTGCTTCCTAGCAAGTTTCTTTGTCGTGTTCTCCGCTTCCATACTGTGTTTATCTTCGGCAGGTTGAAACCTTCGTTCGACCATTTTATGACAGGCCAAGCGCCAGCTATGCAGCCGCCTAAAGATGGTATACCGCGGCAACTACGCATGTACGCCCCCACTGAGCAGTCGGACTCTTCATATTCCCTCATTTTCCGTCGGGTTGAGGCAGGCTTGGTCAAAGCGCTCGCGTCCCGGCCCAAGGAGGAGGTGCGGTTAGCAGCTTCTCTGGTGACACTGACGGACAAAACCACCGGAGAGCCCATCGGCCTTCCTATCAGTCGGGCGAGCGGTTGGTGCTTTATGGATCCGGCGGGGAGTTTCAACACTAGTGAAGACGCCCTCCATGACCAACTGAAAGCCCTCGAGTTCCTCAAGGCCCATGAGACCGGATGGACTAGCGTGGATGTCTCGGAAGCCAACTCCGCCCCCACAGGTGCCGAAGAGGTCATCGAGAGATATTTGCTATACCGTCCGGAGAGCTCGGTTCATCTACGTGTTGACATCTGTGTACTCCAGGAGAATTATTCTGGCAAAGAAGGCGCTTGCACCGTCCTTCGCTTCAACAAGGGACCCGACTTGTGGTGGCGAGTGGTTGTCCAAAACCAAGCATTACGGGTTGATGTCAATCCAATGCTGCTTCGGAATCAGTATACTAGAATGATTGGAAAGCATACTCATGGGCTTAGCGTAGCGGTCCGAGACCTGCTTAGGAATGCAGAGTCTCTAGCAGCGATGGCTGACACTATGCCACCGCCACCACTGTGCTATGAGAACCTCTTCACTTCTACTGGGGCAGCGGCGAGCTACAACGTCGAGGACCACTACGATCGCAAGACGAGGAATCAGATATCACAGGGCGAATCAGAAGTTGGTGCCCTGCGGAAGTACAATAATCTAGTCAAGCGAGTCCTCATCGATAAGTTCGTTCCCGCGCATGGGCCGGTCGTACTAGACTTGGCCTGTGGACACGGTCAGGATCTTTGGAAATACAGCGCTTGCAAGCCCCGGTGAGTTGATACATTTTCCCGTTGTGCCGTCAACCGGGCACGATTGCTCATTTTCCCCGCGTCAGGTTGTACGTCGGTGTTGACATCTCAGCAGAGGCTATCGAGGAGGCCAGGCGGCGGTACGCGGAGAGTGAACAGAGGCTCAAGTATCGTGCCGTGTTCATGCAGGGCAACTTAGAGGACGGGGCCACGTTTGACAAGGTGAATATACGTGCGGCCCCAGGTGTGCTTATTACTTCCTTTTAGATTTTGGAAATTGTCAGACGGGAGGGCGCGAGCTCGGGAGATGACCATCGAGTTTTCGACACAGTGTCGATGCAGTTGGCCATGCACTACCTCATGAAGACTCGAGACGCAGCCCAACAGTTCCTTAGCCGCATCGCAACTGTGATCAAGCCTGGTGGAAATTTCATCGGCACGATTCCCTGTAGCGAGACCATCGTCAGCAGACTCAAGCGGGCGAGTCTTTCCTCGGACGGCTCCTCCAAGTTCGGCAATGAAGTTTACAGTGTGACTTTTGAGAAGGATCAGCTCCTTAAGTTGGCTCCCTCCAACCCTGTAGAGGGTAACGAGGAGGGTACGGCGATTGATCACAAGAAGGGATCAACCGAGTGGGGAGTCGTCTACCAGTTCTGGCTGATGCAAAGCATCGATGATCAGGCTGAGTACTTAGTCCCCTTCAAGGCCTTTGATGCGGTAGCTCGTGCAGCCAATTTCAAATGTGTGCTGCATGCAAATTTCGGCGCCTTCCTCGAGCACTATGAAACGAAAAGCGAGATCGTAAAGAAGTTTCGATGGACTCATTCGGACGTGGTTCTATCACCCGAAGAAGAGCAAGTATTCAAGTTATATACGACGTTCGTCTTTACCTGTACTTCGTGACACATTGCCGTACTCGAGTGCTTTTCCAGAGTGCCTTGCGTTGGAGTGACATTATTCCTTGCCGTTGATTTGTTATTGATCGATTTATGAGTGCCGAAATCACCAATTCGCCTCCAAGGTTTCATGCGAATCCCATGGGGGGCTGGGTCCGTACGACATCCTCATATATATGCCTGCTACCTTATAAACGTACGCCCCGCCTCAAGCGCAGTACTCTTGCCTTTCGAGCGAGTCCGGCAAGTACCGGTCATCAACAAACGTGTATATGTATACAATTGTACGCGGACGGTTCTAGTGCTTTTCCGATCATCCCAGGAGTCTTCACATGCTTAAGGCACGTGAATCCACATGGCAGTGAAATCTCATGGCCTCGCCTCGACAAATGCGTCTTCCGCTCATCTTTATGCTTCGCGAGAAGGTCATCATCGGCGTCATCATCTGTATGACGATGTGTTGAGTTTGTATACAGCAACGATAAACATAAATCTGACATCGGTTCATTGCCTCATAGAGTGAACATATACCTATGTGAAATAAGGTAAGAACACCTTAATACTAATTCGGCTTTCAAAATATGAGTGACTGAAAATACAACACTTGGGTAAGTAGTTCAACACCCTTGAAGACTTTCCTTGCTCCATGAACACACTAATCATCGATTTGAGTCAACATGGCTACACCACGCTTGACCCAGAACGTTTCATCATGTTCCGCGGCGATTGGTAGGAAAATCATCATCACATGGTTCGTTGAATGTCCAGACGTTGAAAGTGTACCTGAGCAGTCAAGTATGTGCACTATTCAAAACCACGCAAAAGATGCATTCGCTGCCATCGAATTCAAATCCCCCTGACCTCTTCTTTCGCTCGTCTTATACACTGGGCAGGTATAGATCCTCCCGTATTTCGTCTCATCTCTATCCATTTCGACCGGCTTGAGCCAAATGTACGGGACTTCGGAGAATAACACCTTGGGGAACGAGTCGGCGATAACCATCTTTTCGTCATCCCATCTGAAAGGGTCGCCACACTGCAACGCGCATCGAGGTCAACTACTCTCACCTTGCGCCATCCATGAATAAGCCTCGGATAATACAGCCTTTTTCTGGTAATCCTGGCGATGTATTGTCTGCCTTGAGGACCTCCATATTCCAGATACAGCGGTCGATAGCTATCTTGTCTTTTCGGGCAAAGTTCTGCAAGACTCCGGTCAAGAATGCTTGCTGGAAGAAGAAGCCCGAGAACCAGAAAACTGATGGGGCGTCAGATTCGACCCAGCCGTCGAAGAACTGCAGACGTTGGAGGAAGTCTGCAACGTAGCTGCCTAGCGGCTTCAAGCTGGGGTAGGACACCTTAGCCCACACCGAAGGGACTTTGTTACTCAGGAGACCTTCAGCCACCTCTTCCAGGTCTGGGCTGAAAACGACCAAACCCTTGACGGCTTTCTGCAAGTTCACCAGCGTATCTCTCAACCGGTCCAGTAACTTATTGCACTTCAAAAGCTCCTGCACCAGGACAGTGTTTAAACACTGATCATAGCGCACTGGATACGTCCTCTGAACCGCGTCTACGTCGAAGTTTTTAGGAAGGGACGCGACTATCTCGGCGGCCTTTTCTCCATAAATCTCCTCGGGAGTTTTCTCCTTCTCGCCCTCCTCAGAGTCACCACCACCCGTCTTCGGCATCAGCATCACTGCCGTTCTCAGAATCTCCATGCCTTCATTGATAGCCGCCGTAAGATTGGCGTTATTGTGTAACCAGAAGACCTCGGGGGTCTGGTTGATCGGGAGCCCTCGTATGTACTCCATATAGGAGGACAACGTTCCTTCCTTGGGAGCGAAGTAAGTGCCGCTTATGCTGAATTTATACTCGTCTTTGAGAATTCTTTCAGTATAATAATCCGTCAAAATATGGACGATTGCTCTACGGTCCTGAGCATCCGTAACTCTGCCGCCGTAGTTTGCCTCGGCAACCATATAGCTCAGAGCCTTCCATGGGATTCCTTCAAACTCATCCAGGAAGTTTTTGAGCTGCTGACGGGAGATGTCGCGATCAGGCTCGGAAAATTGGTAAGGAATATTCCATCCCAGTGGACCAAATTGCCTTCGCTCCAGAATGACAGCGTGAAAGAAGCAAAGACCAAAGAGGAGCTTCTTGAAGGCATGTGGCTTGCTGCAACTCTCGAACCACTCCTCGTCCATACCTATCAACAAACACATTCTCACTGATCGGAGCTAGGGCGTAATGCTACCCATGTAAGCTCGCACCAGACTGTTCTTCAGACCTTTGGGAGGCTCCAGTGTCATCTTGATACCGTTCTGCAGAACCGATATCGGAAAGGCGGGACTCGGCATGGCAGTGAGCCACAGACGGAATTCTAGGTTAATCTCATCTTCGCGGAAGTCTTCAACGACCTGTTATTCCAAGAGATGAAATGGTTGACCGAATAACACGACTTCAGTCTTGCCTTCTCCAGCACAGGCATCCAGCTGACTGCCAAATGGCAGTTCTGCAGCAGGACCCATTTGCCGAGCTTCGTCCCTTCTTCGAGAGCTGCCATTGCCTTAGGACCTGATTGAACATACCATAAACTGGAGCCGGACCATGTACAGTGAGATAATGAATTCCCATGTTCTCAGCCCGGACTACTCGGTGCGCTATCTTACCCTGTCCTTGGCCCAAACTGATCGCGGAGATGTTAGCCAGCATATCCTTTCCCTCTGCCAACTTGATGATGTCAGCCATAGGGTCACTTCCGCTCGACAAAACGAACACGAGCGGGATCGAAGGCCGCGAGTCATTGTAACATGCCTCAAGATCAAACGGCGGTGGTTCCAGGAAGAAATTGCCTGAGCCATGAGATACTCACATTCTCCCGAGCACGCATTGCGGTGCCTTACCGAGCTTCTTCTCAACGATTTCTTGGATAGCTGGCACCAACGCGTCGGCTCGGATTGCCAACAGCACCAGTGCCTTTTCCAAGGGAGTGCATTTCTTGTCGAAACTGTTGGGCCATTCAACATCGCGGGGGTTGTCCGAATCAAATATCGCCTGACGCGTAGATGCTTAGTGACAGTTAATGACGACGTGATAGCCCTCACCTTCCAGCCGTCAACTTGAGACTTGAAGGCCTCCTGGAAGCCATCAAAGGTCTCTCCCAGCTTAGCCAACTCTAGCACTCTTCCCCAAGAAATATCTGAATGATTCATTGCCCATATCAGCACGGCTATTCATACCGGTAAGCCAGGCCGTATTGGGGGGCTTCTCCTCAGAAGGAGCGCCACCGCCGCCACCACCAGTGAGGAAGAGACGCATCTGCTTGAAGTTGAGCTCCTTGTCCACCTCCTGCATCTTGAATGCGAGCTGCATTGAATATAGCAGCCTATGGGCTTCGAACAGGGAGCGGCAAACCATGACATATAACAGCCGAATAGTAGAGCTGAATCGAAAAGGAAGATGTCACGATGGTTCATTCAAGTTGAGATGAGCGAAAGCCATCCAAAGACATTCGGCGTACCTCGCCAAATTGGCCATCCGATCCGCTGGCGAGTTGGCAGCCTCTGCCTGGTCGATGGACATTATGAATATCATGATGAACCAGTCGAGTGAGTATTGATACATAGGGTCGACGATGCAGAGGTCAGAGACCACGAAGAACAACGAGGCAGACCTGAGACGGCTAGGAGTACGCTGTTGAATCGAACAATTCCATCGCGTATACGGAGTTATGGACACCAGCAAATGCCGGCCAGCAATCCGCGATTTTACTCCACCGCTGATCGAATGCCGTCCGGGATGAACAGCCCATGGTTGATACTGTGCTTGACTGAGGGCACGAGCCTCACCTTAGTGCCAAGGGCCTATATGCTTGTCTAGTTTCTTGGATCTGCGCTGCAGTCCTCTCTTGTTGTTGAACCTGTTCCTCAATCTTCTGACTGGCAATCTTCGAGTTAGAAAGCGTCTCAATGAGCTCCTCGTCGTCCAAGATGTTGCCTACAACAACACGCTACAGACCTGATCTTCCACACGTCCACGTACCAGTAGCGCTGGAAAGCAACGCCAAAATGCGGTCTTCAATCTCTTTCAACTGCGCCTTAGACTGAGCGCTCTCCACGACAAGACTCACACGCTTGGCCTCGATCTCCGGCTCTTCCTTGGCAACCACGATACCTTACACATCGTGAAATCACTCACGGTCGGCACACTACGATCACTAGCGTAAACATTTCATCGCCGAATACACATGCTATGAAGGGCTATTTTTCTCACCAAGCATTTGGTCCTGCAGGCCGTCCACTGTCGCCATGAAATTGAGGATAGTAACCGAGACACATATCTCGGGGGCGTAATGAGGATTCGGCAGCTTCGTGGTGAAATATAGACGGAAGTCCTTCGACCATTCTATTGTACTGTCACCGAGCCGAATCATCTCCAGGTTGCCCTGACGATAAACAACTCCATTACGCCGTGTCCTGATGAGGGCTCACCTGTTTAAACGTAGCCTTCTGGAGTAGAGGATCCAACATAGGGTCCAATGACTCAGCAATGTTTTCAATTAACACTGGATTTCCGAACTGTATCGCATTCTCGAGCTCTCTAGCGTAGTTTTTCGTCAGCCGCAAAACCTGGGTGAATCGATCAGAGTACAACCAAATTCGCGGTATCCTACCTGCAGGTTTTTCTCCATATTTTTGATCCACTTGTTCGCCTGTTGCTGAGGGTCGATCATCAGTGGCCATCTCCTCGAGTTACTCATTATGATGGCATTGTCAATCGACAGACCGTCGTTCGGCAATTTATCAATCACCCTGAAGGGACAAATTCTCCATCGCTGGTATGTGCCAGGCTAAATCACCATGCAAATCATCCTTGGTGCTAGTGACGACCACCAAGAACGAAATCGACTCGGTCTCAATCTTCCGTTCGAAATTATTCCCATCTCAGCGCCAACAAATTCTACCCGCGAGTTACTCACCACTGCCGGATCTTCACAGCATCTCCGATACAGTTCTGTAAGTTGAACTGAGGACTTGCAGGAATCTTGAGCTCTTGCAGCTTTCCCAACCATTGCACCATCACGTCCGATCGATATGAAGCCGTGAACACGCCTAAGCAAGACCGTGAGAAGCAGAAGATCCCAGGCTTAGACACCTTACCGAGATACGCTATAATGCCACTGGCAATGAGGATGTCTCCGGACAGGTTATTGTAGTCCGTTCCAAGGCGATTAGAAGCCGCCGTCCACCTCGACTTCTCTCCACCGAGACCAGTGATCAGTTTTTCGGCTCTGAAATCAGGAACAATCAGCAGCTAACTCTGAACTTCGCGATCTGTGGATGAATATAGTGTCTCATAGAAATCCAGGATGATACATGACGACCAACGGCGACTAATACTCAGCAAAAAGTCGCAGCACCCATTCAGATTTTCTTATACCATCACCAAGACTATTCGGCTACGTTACCTGACGAGCTTGGCGGCACAATCATCTCTCTGCTTCTGCAGTTCCTCCATGTATTCCTTCGCATTATTCAAGTCTGATACCAACTTGTCCACAAGTGCGATGACCTCGGCCAACTCCGCTTCTTTTTCAGCCAACTTCGCCTTGGCCGCTGCCGCCTTCCCCTCCGCCTCCGCCAGCGCTGCCCTTTTCGGCCCCACTTCCTTGGCTACTTTATCATACACGACCATCGCTCGGGCCCATTTGCAAATTCCCATCGCTGCAATAGAGGCCTTCTTGATCACCTCAGGCTCGAAGTTGGGATCATCATATAACGGTTTGACCTGAAATGATACCACGAGATTAGTCCATACGTGGTGCTTGTTCCCTGACCTTCTTCATGGCCTCCTCAGAAATATTGTCCTTGTCGAAGTTGATGAGCCTATCGAGCAACCTTGGATCACCAAGCAGCTCCTTCTTGGCCGGCTCCCAGAAGTCTTCCACCTTTCCTCTACCATCAGGGGCCGGTACTTTGTTAGGCTTAACTCCGAAGAAGTAGCACAGGGCTTGAGCCACCAGTACAACTCCGCCTGAATGAAACCATGTGCGCACCGTGGTTCCGATTCTCGCATGAGAAGCTGTTGGCTCTCCACAACGAAGACATCACTCGCGTGCTGCCAAAATGTGTCTCACCTGGCGGGGTCTTCATCGCCTTCACC